AGAGCAGGAGAGACACCGAGTGGCTGAAAAACTTCTTGCTGCTTTTTCCCCTTCCTAATTATGCCAAAAAAATAAAAAAATAAAAGATTGAAGCTGAACTATTTATTGGCTGTTTTTCCTATGATTTGTGTCATCTGGATCACTTTTCCCAGATTGTTTTCCACATAATGGATATACTCTCGTTTCTGCTCATTAATTGGAGTTTACCCTAAATGGGAAATTGGAGCAGGCTTAGTGTTCGCAGTGGAGTGGTTGCGGTTCACACGGTTCATCCACCGCTCTCTTCACAGCCTTCGCAGCGACACTGTAATGTTAATGTCGAATGTAAAAGCCTGGATGTCAGGGACCCAGCGCAGTTGGCACTGCATGGGCACAGTTTCCACATCTTGATGCAACCAACCATGGATCAAACATGTTTGAAAAAAAAATGGTGTCTGTATTGAACATGGACAGACTTTTCTCGTCAGTATTTTCTGAGCAATACAGTATAGCTCCTGTCTATATAGCATTTGTATTAAGTATGATAGCAATTGGAGATAACTTACAGTACGTGGGTGGCTGTACATTGGTTGTATACAGATAGCATGCTTTTTTCTGTAAGGGTACAAAGGGCATGCAAAGATTTGGGTCCTGGAACCAATCTCTCTTGGATACTGAGATGGCTGTTAATGCAGACCATTAAACTCAAAGACATAAAACTCAAGACTGTGGTAATAAGCTTTTAGAGTTATAGTAAAAATTTTCAGAAATTTTTGAAAAATGACAACTCAGCCCAAAGACTTTAAACACAGAAAAAAAATTATGAGGTTACTTAAAGATTATGCAGAGGAGCTGCTAGTAGGAACTAGAGGTTACTATAATGACTGGCACCATTTTTAATATAATATCTGCACATCCTTGCTCATCTTTGCCAGCTGCCCATCCCCCTTTGATTATAATTTCTGCTGACTCACTGATAATTTCACTAACCATGATATCATCATGGCCTAATTTGACTGCTCCGTTCTGACTCAACCTCAGCTCCTTTCCGCTTCAACCTCTGTGAGGTATTCCTGTCCATATTTTGTAGTTTGAATTCTTAGGAAAGAATATCATTTGCATAACTTTGAGAATCAAGTTGTGTTGTTAGCCACTTGGATTGGTGGCCATTTATTTCGTGTCGGAGTTGCAGCCAGCTATCTCCATAGGGTTTCCTCTCTGGCAGGAGCTGTAGGAACTTATCTCAGAAGAGGCCTCTGGGCATGACAGGTGTTTTAAAGCTTTGTCCAAACGGAAGTTCAGAGTAGTGGAACATTGGAGAGCTGTGATTCTCAGTAGTAGAATCACTTCAGGCTTGCAAACATACGGACTGTTGGCCTTCACCTTCCAAGTTTCTAGTTAGGTAGATTCAAGGTGGTCCTAAGAGTTTGCATTTATATGAAGTTCTCTACTGAGGCTGCTGACCCAGGGACCACACTCTGAGAAGCACTGTGGAGGTAAATTAAACTATTGTTGACTGAATACATCCATGTCTGAACTTCTTACAAAGGAAATTCACTGTGAGGGTAAGAAGTGTGTGTCACTGAACGCTGAAGTCATTGTTTCCATTTGCTGTTTTTTAACAGTTAATTTTGTGGTGAGTCTTTGACTTCTTTCACCATGGTTTTTTACAGGTTGACTTTAGTTCAGCTTAATCTGCCTTCTTATGCTTACAACTTTGTCCCAAAGTAGAAACTTAATTTCCCTCTTTTTTTGACTTATAAAAGTGAATGCTGGGGGCTGGGGATTTAGCTCAGCGGCAAAAGCGCCTGCCTGGCAAGCGCAAGGTTGTGAGTTCGGTTCCCAGTATCGGAGAAAAACCAAAAAAACCCAAAAAAAAAAAAAAGTGAATGCTATGAGTCCAGTGAAAAAAACAAGTTCTAGAAAAATATTGACAGGAAGATTTGAAAACAGCCCGACACTAATCTGGCATTGTTTTACTGAAGCAAACTCCCTCTCTTCTCTTCACAGGGTTACATGAGTTCTTTTTCCTCCTAGTCCTAGTGTACTTTGTGATTGCTTGCATTTATGCTCAATCATTGTGGCAGGCTATTAAGAAAGGAGGACCCATGCACATGATTTTAAAGGTTCTGACAACTGCATTGCTGTTACAAGCTGGTTCAGCTTTAGCTAATTACATTCATTTCTCCAGGTAACTCAAAACCACTAAAACTGTGTTCATCATTACATCTAATTAATCCTAATTAGTCCACCAAAATTATGCTTACGTTGATTATGAGCAGTTTTTTTTTCATACTTGTAATTCACACTCTTCAATTTTCCAGGTACTCAAAGGATGGAATAGGGGTACCTTTTATGGGAAGGTTGGCAGAATGTGAGTATCTTTCTGAGCATTATTTTGTTGTTGTTGTTGTTGAAGCTAAACTTGCCATCTGTTTTCATTTTGTTAAAATTATTCTGGACTGAGAGTATAGCTCAGTGGGAGAGGTGCTTGCTTACCGTGTGTGAGGCCCTGGGTTTGATCTCTAGTACCACTCCAAAAAGAGAAAGAATAGATAACTAATTTTTCGTTATAGTAAAGTTTTTCTGTCTAGTGCTGATTAGAGCTGAGCTTGCTGAAAACAGGATTGCAGATTTAGTTTTCATATGTCCTATTTAGTTTCTTCTTAATAATAGTATGTGTGACTCTTCATTATCCTTAGGGCATATTTGTATATATGCTCTCATCTTATCCTCAATAAAAAGCAGGTGTGCTTATTTCAGTTTTGCACATAAAGAATCTGGGCTCAGTGAGAGGAAGCCTGGTTCCGAATACCACTCAGCTACTGACAAGACCCCAAACTCAGACCTGTGTTAATTCCTTTTTTACATACTGAGTTTCTTTCTGTTTCTGACTGAAGGCCTTGTGTACACCTATAGTTGAGCTGCTCTTGTATCTTTGTGCTTTTATTGATAAGACAAATGCTTATGAGGTAATTTTTAATTAAGCATGATAGAAAAATATTTAACTTTTATTTTTTATTAGTACATTTGCAGTACATAATGATTTCATTCCTTATGGGGAGTTGGTACATATGTCTAACACATCTTCATTCTTGAAAAAAGTATTTCAAGAGCCTATAGGCGTGACAGGTTAAAGAGAACTTCAGAGGGACAGTAATTTATGTGCCATTCTTAATGCTGGGGAACTATTTAAGATTTGCTCTAAAAAGCAGATTTTGAGTATGAAACCACACAAGGATTTACTATTTTCATATTTCTTTTCTAGTCTTACCACTCTTCAATAAGTATCTTACGATATTTGCCATTAATCGTCTTAGGACCCATTCATCCAGATCTTGCCACCTGTTTTAAGATTCTGGAACTAAGCCTTTTATTTTGCTTACGAAGAGGATGTATATAGTTTATCTCCTGGGCATGAACAGGAGGCGCTTTATGCTTTCTGAACATTGTTTAGAGCCCCTTTCCTCCCTTTTTGGGGGACTAGTAACACATAAAGTGTTAAAGCTGAAGAATAATTTAGCTTATGAATTTTCGAGGACGAAATTGATGTCCAAAGAGACAAAGCACACAGAGCCAATTAGTGGCAAAGCTGTTATTAAATCAAGGACTATTAAATATTGTGTCAGCTATATACAAAACAGTTTTTTAGACTATCTGGCATTTTCCCTGGAGGGTAAAAAACAAAACTTTTTACTTTCTTTCTTTCTTAAAAAAAGCCAAGAAATTGATGCTGATAATGTTTGGTAGTTCCCACAATAAAAGGTTTGGTTGGTTAAGTGATTACAATTCAAAACAGGAAGGAGTTTTTGTATGATCTGTGTATTTTATCTAAAATCAGTTAATTTTCAACATAAATGAACAGTGTTATACTGATCCAGGTATACAGTAGTATTATATTGGTCTATATATTACTTAGTACATAAAGAAATGGGCCAGAAAAATAGGGATCTTTTGCCCAAGATATTTGTTTTTGATACTTAACAGCTTATGTAGGAATATTCTTTTAGCCAACCCCTTCAACTATGTATCTGTGAAATATTTAATAAAATTAATTGGTATCACAGTCATTTAAAACTCTATAATGAAAGAAAAAAGAATTTAACGTAATAGGCCATGACATTTTGTATCACTTAAGTCCAGTGACAATCAATTATCAAGAATGCACTACCGCGTAAATGGAGAGTAACTCATTTTCGTTTAGATGGCAAGGCAGAGGAAGATCTGTCAAAATACATGTGAGAAAGTGTGTTATTAGTAGATTTTTGGCTTGCAATCTTTAAGTATAGCATTATGCACTATCGCTAGTTGTCTTCATTGCTGCAAGACCATTCTTATATTGAAAAAGAGTAAAAGCAACCAGGCATGGTGGTGCATACCTCCACATTCCCAGCTTCTGGGAGGCTGAGGCAAAAGAATTGCAAGTTTGGGCAGCTTAGTGACTTACTGACACTCTGCCTCAAAAATTAAAAAAAGCCTGGGGATGTAGCTCAGTGTGAAGACCCTGGTTTCAGTCCACAGTGCTATCCCAAAAAAGAAAAGTAAAAATGATCAGCATCAAAGTTATGGGGGGACAGTTGTTAAACTGTGACCACAAGTTTATTCCAAAATCCAAATCAGAACATACTGTGAGAAAGTGATAGCCTTCTAAAAAAATGAGTAATTACTAACTTATGATAAATATGCGTAGAACTTCAATTTATAGATTTTGGTTTCCTTGTGCTGTTTGAGTGCATCCTTTTTAAAGTAGCAGGCTTCCCTTGCAGTGCAAGTGATGGCCACGTGGTGGCACACTGCACCAATTCATGAAGCTTTTCATTTGTCCTCAGGGTTCTGAAACCAAAGCCAGAGTAAGTGGATGTTACAGTGGCTATGCACTTCCTAGTCATATTGTTTCTTATTAATAGTTCTAGAGAATTCCCTTCACTTATACTTCAGCCATCAAAAAAATTCCTGGCAACCCGGAAATGAAGGTACTTACATTTTCCATATGGCAAAAATGATATTTAAAATATGGTTCTTTAAAAATCGGGACTGCCGGGTGTGGTGGCGCATGCCTGTAACCCCAGCACTCGGGAGGCTGAGGCAGGAGGATCATTGCGAGTTCGAGACCAGCCTGGACTACAAAGTGAGCTCAAGGCCAACCTGAACTGCATAGTGAGACCCTGTCTCAAAAAGGAAAAAAAAAAAAAAAATCAGGATTATGTGTACAGTTATAAAAGCTTAAGAAAAATGGGAAACATGAAAAGCTTTAAGATGAACTTAGAAAAATGATATGAGCATCTGTGTATTTTAAAACAGTATTACCACTGTTTCTTATAAATGTTTTGCAAATTACATGGCAAATCTGTAATTCTTTAAATTATTATATGTGAATGTCTCCTACTGAATCCCCTTAGCTTCACTTTGCAAATTCCCATCTTTTTGTGGCAAAAAAGGGGTGTTTTTATCTTAGTGCAAAAAGTACCAGATTCTGTATATTGTGAAAACTTGCTTGACTTTGATTTTCATTTCCCTTTAGTTTTTGATATTGCTTCCCAAATCCAGATGTTATATCTCCTTCTGAGTCTGTGCATGGGCTGGACAATAGTCAGAATGAAAAAGTCTCAAAGCAGACCTCTCCAGTGGGATTCTACCCCTGCGTCCACCGGCATTGCAGTGTTCATTGTCATAACCCAGGTGAGTGTGGGTGCTCAGGTTTCCTTCTAACAACGTTTAGAAACCCAGTCTTGATGGTTTCTCGTTTCAGAATTGAAACCTGGAATCCATAAGGAATGTGTGTCATTTTGAAGTAATGGATTTAAAGAATGATTGATCAAATACGCCATTAATCTTCTGGGTACTAACACTATATCTATATCTATATATTTATATCTGTGTATATATATATATATATCTTAATTATAGTTTACCTGACTGAGCTTCTTGCCAGTTTTTAAAAAGCACAGCATTTCCCACTTAATTGTATTTCATCTTTTCTATCGCATGGTAAGACTTGAGCATTAAATGAGTGAATCAGTGAAATTGAGATTTCACCCGTTGACAAGACTCTTTAGAACAGACTCCTTTAAACGTAAAAGTGTTCAGGTGACTGAGGTTAATTAAAAGGAAAACTATGGAGTAAGAAAGTAAGAAAGAATGAAATCCTGTTTTTGAAAATAAATATAAAAACAGCTGGGTTTTAGAAAAAATTTCTCTACCTTTCCCTCTATATTGGTAGCATTGACATTATGCTAGGATATCCATATGCCTATATCCACTGGGTTGTAAAAATTCAGAAGAAAGATATAAAAAAATTCATATTAAGTCTATGAGATGATAATGAACTATACAGGTAGCCTCAGTAAAGGACATTATAATGTAAATTTTAATGCATTAAGTAAATTGAAAAGTTCTGTATTGAAGGATGGAGCCAGCACTGTATTCATGTGTAACCCTCGTTTTGTTTAGCATAGTAGGAGCTGTGTGAAATAAGTATACTGAATAGCCATGATTGATTTGAGAAAGATACCACATTCCAGGGCGTGATATTTAGAAAGTAGATAGTTCCAGGAAGAGAGCTAATGAGAATTTGAAGTGATTAAAATATGAGCAAGATTTTAACCAGCTTAATATTTTTGATTCAGGAGTTACAGAGAGTGGTGTTAATAGCAGATTAAATTTTCATTTCTCAATTCATAACTCTTTTAAAACTTCAGTTTTCATTATCATTTTATTATAATTTTACTTGATTATCATGGACAAACACAAATTGAGAATTAAGATTTCGACACTATGCTAGAGCTTAAATGGGCCTTTATTAAAAAATGCATTAGACATGGTCCTGATCTCCAGTAGTCACTGAACAAAGCTGATGAGACAAATAACCAAAGATCACATAGATCCTTATCTATATATATAGGTCACATGTTCTCATAAATAATATGAAAACAAGGAATTCAGATACATAAAAATGTGAATCACAGGAAATGGCAGCTTTGTCATAGTACTCCTTCTTGTAAAAGTTAAGTTTAGAAATGCAGGTTAAGGAACCGGACTGTAGTAATAGTAGTAATAGCAAATTTTAGGTCCAAGCAGGAAAGTTCACATGTGCAGGATGACAAAGGAGCTCACCTGTTAAGAGCACTAACGGAGTAAGATTAAGTTAGAAAAAGAATGAGGAAAGGAAGAGATTTCTTATAAACCCCATAAAAGCTACGACTTGGATTTAATACTGTTTTTATCTAAAGTCTTCAGAGGCCACTTAATTCTGAAAGCTGAGTTGACAAAGGCAGTCCAAAGCCATATTTGATACTGAAAACATGATAGTGATGTAATGTTCAGTGTGGGCAGAGGGAGCATGGACTCAGGTTAGTGCTGAGTAGAAGTAAGTAGCATAATGAGAGCTTGCTGAGCTCTACTGGTGCAATAACAGGTGGGAGAAAAGGTCAGCAGACAGACAAGGATATGGAGCGGTGCCCTGGGCGTTTATGGTGAAGAGTTTTTAAAATGTGCTTTCCTTTCTTTACCTTTCATAGCAGCCATGAGAAGGTTATCATGGAAGAGTGAAATCTAAAATCAGCAATTCTAACTTGACTTGTTAATTTCTGGCTTACAGAATATTTTGAGATACTTGGAAGTGACCTTGAGAGAGTAGGCTGGAATGAAGAAGTTTGATTTTTAGGGATGGTAATAAAGGAAGGAGATGGATTGAGAAGAAAGCTTACATTTATTCTCAAACTTTTCAATGGGATTGGTCCTTAGAGATGTCATTTGAATCATGACAGAAATAACATCTTTTTTTTTAAATGTCTCGTTTCATAAAAAACCCCCTTTCTTTAAAGCTTATGCTTATTAGAGGAAGAAAAGACTGCCTGTACTTTACTATAGACTTCATTAAGCCTTTGTAGTCTGATAAATCTTAGTGTCTCACAGGAATACTGGTATAGTGTTTATAAATGCTATATAATGCTTACAGGAATGTTTACAAGAGTTGAAAGAAATACTTTATTGTAAATAGTTCTCATTTATCTCTCTAAATGTGATTTTTTTTTTTTTTTCAGAGTATTTTACTACTTTGGGAACAGTTTGAAGATGCCAGTCATCATAGCCCCCATTCACACCACAACTTAGCGGCGATCCTTCTAATCGTCTTAAGAATCTGCCTAGCCCTGTCATTAGGCTTTGGACTGTATCAGATTATCACAGTGGAGAGAAGCACTCTCAAAAGAGAATTCTATATCACATTCGCCAAAGTATGAGTTGGGGTAGAAAGTGGCTTCTTCTGATTATCAACTTCGTTCTCATTTCTATGGAGTGTCGTAAACAACTACATGCTAACCTGTGTTAAACTTCTATTATGTACCAAGCACTATTTTTCTTTTCCTTTTTGGTTTTTTGAAATAGGGTTTTATTATGTATCAGGCTGGTCTTGAACTCACTATGGAGTCCAAACTGGCCTCACACTCCTCCCAGTTTTCCCACCTCAGCCTCTGGCATGAGGGATGCGCGGGACCACACGCAGCTTCAAGCACTGCTCTAGGCACTGCTCTAAGCCCTTCATTTGCTTTTCTTATTTAATTTTGCAGTCTGTATAATGTAGATCTTATTGGCCCCATTTTACAGAACCCGCGTTTTACAGCACATGTATTTTCCAGGTAGTCTTCGGTAGGTCAATCTTGCCTCAACCCTAATTCCTTTATCAGTAGGGATCTCCTATTTTTTCTATGGTGCTAGAATACTTTTTAATAAATTAAAATATGATCTGAAATTTCTCCACAGTTAACATTAGACTGCTGAGAGTTGTGTGGTGGTTTATAACAGCCCGCGAGGAGCTCTTCCTCGGCAGAAGTGAGGGCAGCCAGAGGGCCGAGCACCCAGTGTGTTTGCGCCCCTTCGTCCCTAGGAGATCATGTCCGCTCTCTTTCCCTGTCCAGGTCCTTCTTTCAGCTGGGAAATCTGAAAGCAAATGCCACTCTTTGTGTACCCTTTTAGTCCAAGAAAAGGACCAGGGGAGGGGCTGGAGCAGTAACTTGCCAACGTCTCCGTCCCTTGAAGGCTCCGTTTTTCCATCAGATTGAGTGAGCCGTTCGGGTCCCTTCACCTCGGCGTGGAGAGCGCCGCCGCCCGGCCTGGCCCCGCCTGCGGGCCGGAGGGCGTTCCCTCCCGGCTCCCCGGGCGGCGCTCTGCAGAACGCTGCTGCCGCCTAGGAGGCAGTTTCCGCCTCTGAGTGCCACGTGAGTGAGCAAGGGCCATTTTGCTTTGGAGTTTTCACCGCGTGAGGAAGTGCCTGTTGTACGGCAGGTGGAGGTGTTGAAGCATTAGGTTTTCCTCTTTCGTTTTACATTTAACGTTTTGAAATCAAACATCCAAGAGTATTTAAAGAGCACCAAAAAGTACTTCTTACCTTGGTCCTGTCTCCTTATTTATCACTGTCACCTCCTCATATAATTTCTGGTATTGGTACCTAGTTTATTTTCCTAGAGTGTGTGTGTGTGTTGAGATAGGTTCTCACGATGTATGGTAGTTCAGGCTGGCCTTGAACTCACCATGTAGCCCATGCCGGGATCCCCCTGCCTCAGCCTCCCCAGTGCTGGAATTACAGGCATGCACCAGCATATCGAGCTCCTAGAGAATATTTAATACATATTCTTATGTGTAGGTCCCTCCATTTTAATGTAAGGAATAATACTAAGCCCTTTTTTTCTGCATCTTTTTTGCCCCAATCTTCAGTATACCCCAAGCATCACACTAGCTACTAATTATTAATTTGTTTCAAGTTTTAATTTTAGAGAAGAGAATGTCTCTAATCTTCATTAGAGAAATAGAGAGAAATAGAAAAAGGAATAGAAAAAGAAATAGAAATAGAAAAAGAAATAGGGAGAAATAGAAAAAGGCCTTTGAAAAGTGTGAACAATTTGCCATTTTTACTTACCTGGTTTCCCTTCCTCCCGATGACCCCTCAAACAACTAACTGCCTTTAATCAAGATTTTTGTACTTCTGCAGAATTTTTTGTGTATGTCCATGGACATGAATGTACACTCATATTTTCTTTTTACAGAAGTACACATTTCTACCTTTTCTCCATTTTTTTTAATGCCAGTGTATTTACACTATATCAAAATACCCATATGTAGCAATGTTCCAAATACAAGATTATATATACTTCCCAGAAATACTCATTCAGTTAAAAACATCAAGTATTAAATCATAGCAACAGTAAATTTGTCTCTACATTGTATTAAAGGCTCTACTCAAAGCCAATCAGAACCTAAATACACTAGTGATGATTTTATTTGGTACATTTTTAAAGTAGAGACATGGCTATACTTTATTTGACTTCTTATTCCTTTGTTTTAGGGCTGTATCTTATGGTTTTTATGCCACCCGAGTCTAGCGTGCATTTCTGTCATTTTTAGTGACTACCAAAGAGATAAGGTAAGGAATGGTATATGTCATATATGATCAAAATACTTGCTTAAATGAAAATGTAGCCTTTGTTGAAAAAATATTGAGGTGAGAGGGGCCTGTTTATCCATTCAGAAATTTTTTGTGTGTTTTACAATAAAACTTTGAGACAACCTATTTAACCAGTGGACATTAGAAGTTCAAAGTAGAGAATAATTTTTTCTTTATATATAAGCAAGATGTGGAAACATCTTTTTCTTACATTAACCTATTTCATAATGATGTTTTATAAAGTACAGGAGTTTTTTTTGCAGTGCTGAGGATTAAACTTGGCCTTGCACATGCGGGGCTAGTGCTCTGCTGCTGAGCTGTGTCTCCAGCCCCAAATTTAAAAATTTATAACACCTCTTGTTAAGAAAAAAATGATTAAAGTTTTTTGCTATATAATGGTAAAAATCAAGATAGGCTTAAGAAATCAATCTTGTGGCTTCCGAGACTACAGACCGAAGTGTCACAGTTCAAGCATGCTAAATTTTGAATCTTCCTTCTTAGATGAATGGCTCCGTCGTTGCAAAGTGGAGCTGTGCCAGAAGCCCTTTACGGGCAGGGAGTGCCGTGTGTGCTTGCACACTGCTGTATTGAGGCCAAGGTACTTACAAAGGATAAATAAGTAGGAAGGTAGTATACAGAAATAGAGAAGGGACTCACACAGGTTTGAAAGGGCTTTTAGAGTAGTCTAACATTTGGGTAGGGACATGCTTTTTTCTTCTACTACAGTAGCCTGGAATCTGAAACTTGTCTATGGTGTGCACATTCTTAGGAGAGAATGCTTTAGTAAATTACTCTTGTGTCTTGCTTTGGTGTCTATAAACCGTATGTGCAAGGAATTTTATCCTTAGCTAGATTTCTGAGCATAAGTCATATTTTTCTGTAGAAAATTTTTCAGTAGAATGTACTCGTGATAAAGATGAAGGATAGAGTACTGTATTTAAAAAGCACGTAGGAGTTCATGATAAATTGAATATAATTTCTCTGATTCACCATGCAGTAAAGCATTCTTTTTCTTTTCTTCTCAGGTTATTACAGTAGGTGTTATCCTCTGCCAGTCTGTCTCCATGGTTATTCTCTACAGACTCTTCCTATCCCACAGTCTCTACTGGGAAGTTTCCTCGCTTTCCTCAGTGACCCTGCCACTGACCATATCATCCGTGCACAAAAGTCGGCCTCACTTCTGAGAGTTTTTGTTCAAAGAAGAAATGAATTGGTTGAAAGGATGCAATAAGGATCCAAATACAATGACTCTTTTTTTCATACATTTGGTATGAAAAATTCAACAGTGAAAGTAAAGCATGTTATTTATATAACTGCATTTAAGCAGTACCAAAACTTAAGGTAATAAGTGAAATGGTTTGAAATATACTTAAACAATAAACTTTCAAGAAAGAGTGTTGTGATAAGGTGGTTGAAAGACTTTCCATATGGAAATAATTGTGAAAAAGAGTTTCTCTTCTTTTCTTTCTTTTTTTTTTTTTTGTTTTGTGAGATGGGGACTTGCTATGTAGAGGGGTACCTGGACACCTTTGTATCCAGGCTGGCCTTGAACTCAGGTAGAGCAGGCTGACCTTGAACTCATGGTAGTCCTCCTGCCTCAGCTTCCTGAGTGCTGAGATTACAAGTCTGTGCCACCACGCTTGAAAGGAATTATATTACCCTTTGGTAAGATACTCACTACTCATAATGCCTCATATCCATAGGTAACTCAGGCTTGATGGTCTTTTTAAAAGTAATCAGTTAAATGATTGCTTGCTTATACATACCTAAACATCCAGTTATGAAATCAGTGTAATACACTGATTCTACAAACTACTTCTTTTTGATGCTTTAAAAGGAATGCATTTCATACTAGAATTTAAAAGAATAGAGAATAAAATTTATGAAATGAATATAAAATTTTCCCAATTAGATGAGTAAGCTTTTATTTGTGAGTGGGATTATTCTCCAATTTTTTTCTTTCATTTTTGGCTCTAGTTAGGTTTTAGCGTGACTAGCAAAGGATTTTTGACAAATAATTTATGAAAAATAAAACTTAGGTACATCACATTGGTTGTAAGGACAAAGGATTTTAAAACCTAAGAACTTAGGTGAAGGGACAAGTAGGTTTATGTTTTAAAAAAAGGAACTATATGATATGCTGCTAAAATGCTTAATCCTGATATAATTCATTTCTCTTACATGGAATCCCCAATCATAATTAAGCCGTATACGCAGATTAAATTAACAGAAGCATTTCACATAAATGTTGGTTTCAGTCATCAACTACCCATGAATTCCTGCCCAAGGATACTTAATCAGGATTAAATTTTCTATGAATAATTGAAAAACAAAATACTCACTGGATTTGTTATAATCCGTGTTGGCACTGGATTCTAAGCAGCTGCCATCTTGAATCCTTTGTAATAAAGCCATATTTCTGTGTGTGTGTGTGTGTGTGTGTGTGTGTGTGTGTGTGTGTGATACCCCTGTATTGAGTATGCTAGTTAAAAAATACTCCTATCAAGTGCCTCATTAGAGATTGCTATGCGCTGGTTAATACCTATTGTATAAAATATATAGTCCCATTAATATTTACTGATTTGAAATTATTTGGTTGCCCTTTGTCAAGTTGTTCAAGCATTTTTAATTTTATCTCTGATTTATTTAAAATAGACTTTATCTGCTTATTACACTTTTAAGGAAGAAATGACACAATGCTCTGGTAATGAAGCCATTTCATTAGATACTTAAAATAATGTATCGCAACTTAAAAATCCTGTGACTGCTTTTGTTGTTCCCTTGCATGTGGCCTTGTTGGAAATGGAGAGTATTCTGATCCATTTTAAAGGAAAATGTATCTGTGACTAGCAAAATGACAAAGTAACAGTTCAGCCTGCTGATTGGAAATCATCTAGTAATTCTTAGATTATCAGTTATTAAACAAAAGCTACAGGCTAAGACCAGAAGGTTTTGATGTATGGCTTAGGTTCGTAGCATCTGGTGAGTGGTCATACTGACCTTTTCATTTTACTGTGTCTCTCTAGTAATACCCCTTGATGTCTGTTGGGTTCAACTGAGTTGCTTTTCATTAGGTGAAAAAAAAGAGTGAACTCTTTCGTGAAAAAAGTTCCCTCACTTTAAAAGGAGTGAGCTTGCAACAGTGGGGAGGGAGTGAGCTTTATGTTATTTTACACAAAGAACATAGTAACTATAATCAAAAGAGAAGTTTGCATTTGTGGAACTTGATTTTTAATGTATGGTTGAAATTGCTGATAATTTATTTTGTTATTGAAGGGCCACTGTGAAATGAAGGAAAACAATTGTGAATAAATGTATGAAACTATCTTTGATTAGCAGTCAGGGGCCAGACTTAACCATGTGTAAGTCAGGACAGTATCTTGTTTTCTCTTTCTGAATATTTACGTGGAGATCTATCACTGCAGATTGCAGAAAGATGTGTGTAGTGCAAACCCTATTAAGAAGAAAACTTTTCTTCCTCTGTCAGATAATGCTCTTTTTAAAAATCTGTTTTACGCTTTCTTCCCCTTAAATCTGTTTTACATTTTTTTTTCCCCTTCAGATAAATGGTCTTTTAGGATTCCTCACCTTTTTCTTTCTTCCCTTAAGAAAATGGGGTGTTTTTTTGTTTTGTTTTGTTTTGTTTTGCCATGTATAATAAGAATGCCTACTATGCAGCAGCCCTTTTACCCTCATTATGACCGAGCTCTGCTGTGGTAACCAAACCTGTTTAACTGAGTAAGAGGGAGGAAAGATTTCCTCTAAGGTCACCCATAGTTTTCCTACTTCACCCTCCTGATTTAATGAGCATGTACTAGGCGTACATGCTTTAGAATTAAAAACTATCAGTAGTTAATTTTAGCTAGTGATTTGAACATTAAACTTGGAAATGTGCTGAAATCCTAATTGAACTTGAATATATTTAAGAACTTGGCATATTTCAGTATTTAAACCTGGCTTTCAGCCACAGTATTGCTAGCGGGGAAAGTTAATCCAGACACAGAAGGGCTTGCTTTAGGGAAATTTTTCATAGTCTCCAGTAAAGTAAGCAAGCTCTGATGAAAATAGAAGATACAAAGTCTAATGTCAGTGCTGGTGAAACTAGAACCTGTACATCCACATGAGTATGGGCTCCTTCAGCAGTTGCCTTTAGGAGCCCACAGTCTCTGGAAATTCTTTGGAAACCTGGAATTATTTGTAAAACATTCTCTTACATAGCTCCTGTGTCATATCCTTGAGGGTTTTACTCTTGTTTGGGGAATAAATAAGATAGAAATGGTCAGTTGGAAGCCAGATCTGAAGAGGTAATATTTTATCTTCCAATGCGAATTTGTGAGTTGACCCTAAAATAATGAGATTGATCTTCCTGTGGGGTGAAGACTCACGTGGAAGCACTGTGGCTTGGACTCTCGTGTGGCTGCGTGCTGTCACAGCTTGCACGCCCACCCAGCCTTCCCGGGGCTGCAGGGCCTTGCCCACTCTGCTCCCAGGGCGGCAGGAGGCCTGGACTTGCAGGAAGCAGCCGTGCTGCCCATGGGAGCCATTCCCACGCAGCCAAACAGTCTCTTCAAAAAAGGGGACTCGGCCTGGGCATGGGCATAGAGGAATTCTTTGTGCTAATCTTACAACTTTTTTATAAGTTTGAAATTATTTGAAAATGCAGAGTTTAAAAAATGTGTATATCAGATCCAAATACCACAACCCTGAGAAAAACTCCCATTTGCTCCTTATTGAACTTAGGAAAAGGAAGTGCTCACGTGCTACACATGCTGTGCAAGGCCTTCTGGGGTTCAGCGCCTGCCTCTTACTTCGTGCCACTCCTCCCGTCCATCATAGCCCAGCTTCACTGCCTTGTCTTTGTCAGAAAACATCCAGTGTGTATCGCTGCCTTGGCATTAGCGCTTCCCCTGGCTGGGCCATTTCCAAATTGTGACATGGTTACATGGCCAAGTCCTCAGCTTTCGGGGCTCGTGTCTGTCAAGACCTCAGACCTTCTGGTGGTTCACGTGGTACCAGTTCAGTCCAGCTGGGGATATGCTCCCCGGAAGTTCAGGGCAGGGTGGGTCTTAAGAAATGTTTGATAGGACATTTAGAAGGCAGAAGTAAGCTGGCAGCCAGGCGCAGATTCTTCTGTAGTAGAAGTTCCAAGCAGGAAACTTCCTGGTCACCGCTTTGCTCATCTTGGCCAGTGGGACAGTAGCCAGGTCCACAGGAAGGCAGCTCGTGCTCTCGCACATCCTTCAGCTTCTCTTCTGGGCGACGGAGAATGCCAGCTTCTGCAGGACAGTCCCACGGTCCTGCTGGGACAATTGGAAGAGGTTAGACATGAGAACGGGTTTCCTTCTCAGATTGACTCAGTCCCCACGGGTCCTACAAATCCTAGCATCCTTTTTTTTTCACCTAATGAAAATCCTAGCAGTTTCCCCCAGTTTGCATCATGCCAGACACAAAAGCAGTTGTCCGTAATCCCTATAGGTGCTTTGCTTCCAATCAAAGGTGTGTGTTACACGCTAGGGTTTCTCCTGTTCTGAGGGACCCTCACAGATACACCGTCCTAGTTAACGCTGTTCCTTCATCCTAATTACTTTATTTATTTTTTATTTATTTATTTATTTATTTATTTATTTGGTTTTTTTTGGTTTTTCTCCAGTTTCGGGAACCAAACTCATGACCTTGCCCTTGCCAGGCAGGTGCTTTGCCACTGAGCTAAATCCCCAGCCCCCATCCTAATTACCTTAGTAACATTATCCTCTTTTTGCTTTGTTGCACTTAACTGCTCTGTCTATGTCATGAACGGTGAAGAGCCCGAGCCTTTACCCTGCTTTCATCTGAAAGCTTGCTGTAAGTTGGAGGTGTCTCCCAGATTCATGCCCTGGAAGCTTGATCCTCAAGGCTGCAGCGTTGAGTGAGCCCTCATGAGAGGCGACTGGGTTACAAGGGCAGTGCCCTCCTGAATGGACCAATGCTGTTGTCCCAGGGGTGTGTCACTTACCAGGAAAGTAGTTTGTTAAAAGGAAAAAAACGAGTGCCTGGTGTTTCTTGCATGAGCTCCTTCTCCCTTTTCCCCTGCAAGGCTGTGCAGCACAAAGGCCCTCCTTGCCAGACACGCCACTGTACTGCTGGACCTTCCAGCCTCCAAAACTGTGAGCTAAATAAACTGCTCACTACCTAGTGTGTGGTGTTCTGTTACAACAGAAAATGGACTAAGGTACTTAATGATTTACTTGTTACAGCAAGTGTCATGAGTTTCTTGTTGGCTTACACTGTTTACACGTAGAACCCAACTTCAATGTGGGAAGGACTTCATAACTACACATGCAGTAGATGTGTACTGCAGCCAAGAAATGCTGAGCTTGGATAATTTATCTTGTTAAAAAATGGTTTTTAATTGATTGAGGGATGAACCTATAGTCTCATGCTTGGTGGGCAAATGCACTACCCCTGATCTGCCTCCAAATCTCTAATTTATCTCCTTTATAACTGGCTCTTTGTGCAGCAGAAACATTACCCCCTCTTGTTCAGTGTATGTAAAATCCTAGGAAATAGCCCACAGTAGTTAGAAACACACATTCCTGGTGGACCTGCCAAGGACATCAAAGATACTTCAGGCTTATGGTAAATTGCCAGTCCTAACGTCCCAAACCATTAAAACTAACTCAAGAAGAAGTACAGATCTACCTCATGTCCTATAACTACTAAAAAAATTGAATTCTTATTGGAAAGTCTTAACACAAATCTCCAGGCCCACCCACATGGTTTCACTAATGAATTTTACCATTCAGTTCTACCAATCTATTTTTAAAAAATTGGAGAGTAGAAAGAAATGTCTTTTCAATGTAGTGTTGGAACTGTTAAATCCATGTGCAAAATAAATGAACTTCAGCCAAAGTTTTGTCTTAAACAAAAATTAGCTTGAGTCATAGATGTAATATAAAACTACTTTTAGAACATGATAAAATCTTTATGACGAGGTTCGGCAGAATTCTTAGATATAAAAGCACAGTCCACAAATAATTTGATATTTGACTGTCAAAAACTGAAGAACAATATCAAAAGAATGAAAAGAAAGCTACAGTCTTAAGAGTTTTTGGGTGAAAATGTGTGAATCATCTGTCTGAAGAAAAGTCTATAGGAAATGTATAGAAAATTCTTAAGACCCTACAGTGGGAAGACAACCCAGTTTACAAATGGGCCAAAGGCACTTGGCCAAAAAGAACAGTACATGTGGGAAATCAGCACATAAAAAGATGTTCAACATATTTATAAAAATGCAAACTAAAACCATGGTGAGATATTTCTACACATCTATTAAAATGCTTTCAATGAAAACTGAAATTACCAAGTGCTGACAAGAATGAGGAGCTACTGAAGCTCCTTCGTAGTGGGATTATAAAATGGTACCGTCATTGTGGACAGTTTTGTAGTTTCTTATGAAGTCACACAAATTACCACACAATCCAATAATCCCGTACCTAGGTATTCACCCTAAGAGTGAAAACTTCACATTCACACAAAAACCTATACACAGTGTTGATAAATGAAAACTGGGAGACAGCCCAGATGTCCTGAATTGATGATCTATAACATACTCAGCTAAAAGAATACTATTCACTAATAGGAAATTATTAATTCGTACAAGTTGGGTGTTTAAAAGTCCTATGCTGAATGAAAGAAGTCAATTTAAAAACTTTTCGTACTGTGTAACTCCAGTATGATGTTATAGTTTGCATCCAAATGTTCCCCCAAAG